AGATACATAGACTGAAGAGGTATGGGAGGGAGAGTAGGCGTATATCCACAAATAGATAAACATTTGACAGAGGATATTTGTACATGGATATTTACCTTAGCTGTAACACATCTATGAATGTAGTGGGGCATATAGGAGCAAAATGATGAAAACTTCTTAAATATTACTAAACACCTTGAGGCAACGAGTTCTGGGTCTGGGGTTTCAGGAAGACACCATGTCAACTGGTATAACATACTAAGACAGTGTTCTATATCCTGCTTTGATGAGTAGTGACTGGAATCTTAAAAGCTCATGAGCAGCCATCTGAGGTACAACTATTGGTCTCTCCCTGTGTGGAAAAAAGAAGAGTGATGAAAATTGAAGATGATTGGAGTCAATTCATCCAATGGACTCATGGAACACATGAATATCAGTATTCACAACTCTGAGATCAGAACTAGACAGTGCCCAGCTATGAATGCTAATTCCAATTTTTGTGAAAGGTCTTGGATAGAGTGGGAGACATTGTGGAAGAAAAATCAAAATTATAAAACAGACTGGGCTTACTGGTCAGAAAGAGAGTGGAGGAACTCAAGACTATAGCCCTCAGTCTGGAATGGAACTCACTCTCATGGTCCAATTTTTAGCCAAGTGGTAGATAAGTATATAGGGAGGACAACAACACTATGAGGCATGCTCAATATGGAAGGTCAACCATCCAAGATCAAAAGAGCAACATTTATCTGGAGGCAAGTTTCAGAGACATTGTGAAGGAGGGTGGAATGGAAATAGGAACCATGAGGAAGAAGTAGGGTAACTGCTGATTCAAGGAGAGAATTGTAATCATTGAGATGAAACAAGGTGTGTGATTTGTTAGATATAAAACTGATAATCTGCTCTGTAAAGCTTCACTCAAATCATAATAAAACGTTTCAAAAAAAGCACAAATTTTAATTTCATATACACACACAAATGAGGGATATGTCAAAAAAGTATTAAAGAAAATACCAAAATGTGTAAGTAGTGTTTCTCAACATATCCTCCACCAAGTTCTATACACTTCTGAAGGTGTGTTTCCCTTCCTCCAAAGAATTCTGCATTCTTTGATTTACACATTTCCAAACGGTAGCTTTGGTGTCCAGAGGGGCTCAAATCATGCTCCTACAAAATGATCTTTGAGTTTTGAGAACAGATAGAAGTTGGCTGTAGGGTGAATTGGGTAATGTTTCTCAGTGAAATTTGTGTAGGACAGCCCTTGCTACCCTCAAAGAATGAGTAGGTTCATTATCATAATGGGGAAAAAAATTCTTATACTCAGCTTCCTGGTCTTTTTCTCACCAAGGTACTTTTCAATTTTCTTAAAAATTATAATAAGCTCCCCCATGGTCATGCTGTGTCCTTTGAGAAAATCTATCAAGATAACCCCTTTGGAATTCTAAAAGTCACCATTATCTGAGCTGACCTCTCTGCCTTGAATTAAATTGGCTCAACAAATCACCTTGGAAGCAACTGTTTGGAATAGACCTTTGTTTTGAAGTACCCTAAGGAAACTATGGCGGGGCATTGTGGGTTAATGCGCCAGACTGCAAAGTGGTTTGAACTGCAAGGTCGGTGGTTCAAGCTCACCAGCTGCTCCATGGAAACCCCATCCAGGGTTGCTATGCGTTGGAACCAACTCGACAGCACTTAACAACAACAAGGAAACTATGGAGTCCTGCTGTGGCACTGCGGGTTAATGTACCAGACTGCAAAACCATTTGAACTGCAAGGTTGGCAGTTCAAGCTCACCAGCTGCTCCTCAGAAACCCTATACAGAGTCACTGGGGGTAGGAATCAACTAAATGGCACTTAGCAACAACAAGGAGACTATGACAGGTGTATTACTGAGAGAACGTATCTGTAGCTATCTACCAATCACAGAGACATGTTCAAACACATTTTGATTAGAATAAATTCATGCATGTATGAAT